AGTGAGAAGTCACAGCAGACCCAGAGCTCCAGTTAATACTACATGGAGTTTCAAATGAGACATTCTACTTATATAAATCAAATGAGAAATGTGTAAAGCATTATTGTTACATTTAATAATATTAGTTATTACTAATATTATTCAGAATTTGTAAACAAGGTAATACTACATATTGAAAAAACAGGTAATCCATCGTTCTCTTTAGCTTCTAAACTGCTGTACCTCTATACAGTATTCTAATTTTTCAAAATGTTGGTTTTTTTTGTTTTTGTCCCTTCTACTATGTATAAGTACATGCAACCACCAATTTCCACAACTCTATTGTCTTTGTTTAAATTATTTCTTTAGGTTATTGTTACACTAGGGAAATTTATTCATGCGAATCGAAAGAGTCTGTTTCCTGAGCTCTGATTGGTTGCACATTTTTTTGCTAATAGCAATAAAGTAGAAACAGTTCGAGCTGCTAATTTCGCTGAAGCAAAAAACTCTGATAAATGTGACCGCACATACGCATGAACTGAGGCTAATAAATTAGCTTAGTGTAAAACCGGTTTCATATTTACTTTAGCCTTATTGAGATAACTATCTACTTTTTTCTGTAATAAAAAATGTAGTTGAACGGTCAACTTCTGAAATATTTTTTATCAATTTCATTTTAATTTTCTTTTTAAGTGATCGATTTCAAATATCTGCACGACTTTTTAAACACTTTTTTTTACATTAATTGTATTTTAATTGTAAATTGTTTTAGTATTGCCAGAGGAAAACCAATTCCCAGTTGTTTCATTGGACAATAAATATTGTTTGAAGGTTTTCAATAAATGTTATCTTATCTTTTTGATTTTTTGATTCCTACAACTTATCACATGATATACCATTTTCCCCTTGAAGATAAATCATCCAGCTTTATAAAGCAAATCCAGTTTATGAGGCTCTGGCTGAATAATTTTCAACATTACTAAAATAACTAGAGTATATCAGAGATAAGACCGTAAATTGATTGAACAAATCACCTTGAAGGTTAAGGCCGTGCACATGGCCAAGCTACCGACCCACTTTTGTTATGATTATGCTGATAGTAAAAAAATAAGGATGAAACTAAATTGAAATAACAACATTAAAAAATTCATCATCAAATTAGCCTTGACACAAATATCCCTTGGGTGGGGATGGCTTTTTAATGCGCCCTCGGGAATCAGTATATGCTAAGAACTCTACACAGCCAAGGCAAATACTGGAGTGAGCCAAGGCAAATACCAGAGAGAGCCAAGGCAAATACCGGAGTTTGCCAATTCTGAGCTGTTGACTAATTCTTTTAAATTATCATTATTTCACATCAAATTTATCTGTACTGAGATAACTATTTTTTTTTTTATTAATAAAACATTCCAGGTATTACTTTACATAACTTTCATGTGTAAGTAACAATTAAATGGTTTCAAATTGAACTTTAATATTAGACCATATAAAAAAAATGTTCAGGAGGTCACTTCCTTTTAACTTCAACTTCATGATTACGATGTAGATGGTATAGTAATATTAATAATAATACTGATGACATTAATGATAATGATTATGATACAGGTGATCATAATAATACAGATGATTACAAGAAAATGATGATTAAAATGATAATTCTGATGTTAATAATAGTTTTACTGAAACTATGTCAAATAAACAACTACATAGTCTACAGTACCACAGAGCTGGTATGCAAGTAATGTACGAATGAACATGATGGTACTACAACCGACTCATATGCCAAGACCTATCACCCTACAGTAGTTGACTCTTTTTTGTATTAAATGTCTGTAAAGGATAGCATCGTCTAACTGAAGGAAAATCCAAGGGCACATTAGTAAATAACAGTGAAAAAAGGGGGAAAACCCCAATTATAGTAAGGTCAATTTTTTAAGTGTCTATTAAGATAAGAAATACAAAGGAAATATAATAAGAAACAAAATCATCAAAACATTTCTATCTATTTTTTGTTAAATTAAAATGGTTTTTTTTGTTTCTAAATTTCTTCAATGCAAAGTTTGTTTTCCTTACTACTCACTGTATTTTATTTCTACTGTTGTGACAATAAGGATTTCTCGAATCTTTTAAAGTATAATGTCCCTTAAGGTTTACAAATCAAAATAATCTTGATATAAATTATGGAATATAATTGAAAGAGGGCACAGGAAGATGCTGGTGTTTAAAGGTTAGAACGTTTGTTAAGAACAACAGGTTGTTTGAGAAGGATATCCTGACAAGAAACAAATATTATCAGAATTCATAAGGGAACAATACCTGGAGAAATTCCAAGAGTATTGTACTAAAGGTGAAAATATCACAGTACATATGTATTCATTTTAGAAATTATTTAAAAAAATTATGTTAAGAATTTTATAACAAACTCTTGTAAAGCACCATTTAAAGCTAATCATAGTGAATAATTATATAAAAAAGGTTTGTTTTTCCCCCTACTTCTTTGCTACACTATTTTATTAAACTATAGCAATTATTCATTTTAGATCTGTTTGATTTGTTTTTATTCTGATGTAAAAGTAAATACTTTAATCATTTATTAATTTGTTTGTTTGTTCATTCATTCATCCATTCACTGTTTTAATTTTTTTTCCTTTCATATCTAAAACTCACCACTTACAGTTCTGAATTAGCTATTTGATGGTAAATATATACCCATGCTTGGGAAGCTGAGAACTAAAAAATTAAGACTCTTGGTCCATAATATTTAAACAAATTTTTTTTTTTATAAATGTACAGACAGATCAATTTAGAAAAGGGCACTCTCTATTGGCGCTACCACTACTGGGGGATTTCTTGGTGTCCTCTGTGTGCATTTCATGCCCATGTATGGTGGTCCGAAGTGTTTAGAGCATATTACAATGAAAACAAAATACTGTATGAATTACAATTCTAATATTTACATTTGTAGCATATAATGCGTAGGAATCCCCCACTACAAGCCCCCAGTTATGGCGTCTGTAGAAGGGTAATCACAGTAAATGGGTCAGTCTATACAAAAGTCTGATGGAATAAAAAAAAACAAAAAAACAAGCCAGTGACTCGTCCCTCACAGGATGGAAGTGACACTCTAAAAAATAAGTGTCATTATGAGTACAATTCCTTTTGGTTGTGAGAAAAGATCGAACCCAGAACCACGGTATTACTAATATACGATCGTTCTGCTAAAAAAAATCCTTTAATTGATTACCAGCAAATTGAAATCTACACACAGAATTACAAGACCTTTCTTGATTTTATATGTATTTACATTGATACTTATTTTATATTGTATCTGGACCTCTGGGGAAACCAGTACTTGTGTATTGAAAGAGTACTTCCAGAATAAAGAAAGATTTGATTTGATTTGATAGGCTATATTGCACTACATTGAATCAAATTTATATACTGTACCATTGGTTCTTATAAGAAATGTATCTTTTCTTATTTTGATGTTTGCTTCAATATTTTTTTTTTTGGTAAGACTCTCCAATAACTGTCTAATCAGCAAGTCCTCCACCTTTCTGTAATTACCCCACTGATGTAAGATGTGATTTTACCAAAGTTAACACTTCCTTAATTCTTTAGTGCCCCAGAAAAACATGGAGACTTCCAGGAAGATGAAAACATCACTTAAACACATCTGTTAAGTTTATATTGGTCACTTCAAGAAGGTCATAACAAGTTCAAGAACACGTTGTTTCAATGTAAGGAGATGAACTTACTTGAGAGTATGTTATTTGTCTTTTCTTTCACTTAAAATGTCAATTTTAAATCCTAATGTTAATAATTATACATTTTCCTGGTGATATATTGTTTCACAAAACTGTTTGAATACTTCCTCTCTATAAACAGTATTTTACAGTATTTCCACTGGTCACTTTATATAAAACATTTTATAAATATAACTAAAGAATTATATATTTTTTTATGAGCTGATCCCAATTATATAAATGGAAAAGGTAGGCACAAGAATAACCTAAGTAAATATAAAGTATATTGATCCTTATAAGATTTCTCTGTATCAGACATACGAGATGGGTACTCTATTAGAATTTACAGAATGGTACTATATAAACTACGACCATAAATATAAAATGCTTTATAAACTAAACTCAACAATAAGATTTAGAGAGTGGCATTTTTAGGAAGAAAAAAAATTAACTAGATTGAACTAACAGTAGGAACCCAGAATTTGAAGGCAGGCACCCACCCATCATGTCATACTACAGCTTCACTAAAATAATATTTAATTATGTTTGCTAGATTACAACAAATTTGGGTGTGGATCGTTAAAGCAATGTTGGCAGGAAGGAACCTTTTAATCTTGATATCAAATTGGTTTCCTAATTTAGAAAACTTAACATAATAATCCTCATTTTCTTTTCAAACTACTATAATAAAATATTTAATTCAATTATGAATACCAAGATATTTTCAGAATTAAGGCTCGTCTACAATACTTTTTCATATATTTGTAATTTATACATTATAAAGAAGGAAGTTAAATCTGTATTGTGTAAAATACCTTGACATACATTTTTCTTGATGATATGAAGTATTAAAGATAAAAATGGTTAATTTGCTACAGCCTAGAATGTATCACATGTAAAGATAGAGATCATTTTCCCTGTTGTAGATATTATAGTTTGATAATCTTCGTAACTTTCAATTCTCCCTTGCAAAAGAACTAGATATCATGTAAGTTTACCCATAAAATAACAAAATTAACTGCCAACAAATCACCAAAAGATAATGCTATTTGTCAAGTAATGACATAAAGGTCATTGCACTAAAATGTAATTTTGTGATTATCGCTTGCTGAAGTACAGTATCAGCCAAAATGTAGCAAATACTTTAATCATCAGTTTAACAAGAATTAAAATATCTTTGTAAATACAAATGCATTAAATGGAACATAAAGTATGATAAATTCCTTATCGCAGAAAAAATACTATAATTAAAAGTGTGTAAATGTTAATTTTTACCTGTTTCATTTAAGTCCGACCAAATCTGTACAGAAGAATTCTCCTTGCTTTCTCTCTTCCATGGTGTGATCACTTCCTTCAGCTTTGAAAATCTAATTAATAACATAAAAAATAAGGTTCATGATATAAAAAAAAATGAATGATTCATTTTAAACTTTATCAATGTTTTAATTATCATGATTTAATTATCTCATTTGTATTGAAGTCAAAGCTCAAGGCAATACATACTGCACATTATGATGGCTTAGTAGAGAATACTGTAGTCATAGAGGTTTATGTGCCTTTTATTTTCCTTAAATTTATCGAATTATTATTACTATTATTAAATATTTATTTCCTCCATAAATATATAAATGCATAAACTTTACAGAATATACACATTAAATTTGAATGGAAAAATTGCATTGAAACAAGAAGAATATATAGATTGCTGATGAGTGGGGAAGGCTGGCATACCAAAAAAAAAAGGAACAGAGTTTCTGTCTAATAAATGTTTACGAACAGGCAAAGGAAGAGAATTCCAGCAAATTATGATTTTTGTATTATGACTGTGATAATTTTAATTAAGATTCTATTCTTAACCTCATTAAAAAATAACTGAGCCATTTGGGAGACCAGTACTTTGCACATAAATAAATACTGTACCACAATAACAATACTGTAATATTAAGATGCTAAAGATGATTTGATATACAATCTAGTTAAATCTAGATGTAAGCCAAAAAACAAAACAATTAAAATTTAAAATTGGTCATTTACAGAGATTCGAATAATTTAACCTATTCCAAGAGACAAATACAAAAAAAACCAATCCCAAAAAAAAAAAAAAAAAAAAAAAAAAAAAAAAAAAAAAATCCTGACAATTTTCCGCTATGAAAATCTTTACATTGAATGCCAGCCAAATTAATCGTTGACACAAGGAATACAGGAAGAGCATTATTTGTGTGTCTGTTAATTAGTAAACTACCTCATTGTGAAAGCTATTAATTAAAACTGCAACATATGCAATTCATTTAATTTTTAATAGAAAAATCAGAGTATTGAAGACATTTCTAGTAATAAATAATAAAAAATAATATAATACAGATATTAATTTTGATAACAAAATTGTACAGACCCTCCTTTCTTCTTTCGTTCCTCGCTGTCACTTCTACGGGCTTTCTCACTTCCGCTACTTTTTGTGCTGCTAGCCCTACTACTGTTGCTGCTGGGGGCGGTGTTAGGGGCAGCCTCCGAAGGTAGTAATTGTACTCCATTGCTATCTGATGATTGTAACACAGTTACTGCTGCTATGAACTTCTCTTTATCATACCCAGAAACTTTATCTATTGCACCTAAAAGGAAAAAAAATTATTACTGAAAAAAAAAAAATCAAGTAGCAACAAGCTTCAAGTTATCTATAAATTTGATAATATATATATATATATATATATATAGATTTGAGAATAAAGGTGGTGGGTGTGAAGGGGGGGGGGGAGAAGACTAGGAACCACGAGGAAAAACATTACAGAGGAGCAGAGGCATTTTAGGGCAATTCAAACGTGGGTTTGAAACAAGCATAAACATGTACTGTAAATTACCTCATCTGGTTTCAGAGTGCATATTTTGGTTTGGTAATTACAAAAAAAAATCTTGTAGAAAAGACTATACAAACGATTACTTTTTAATGAAAATCTGCTTGTTTAAAGTTCCATCACATAAGTTTCTAATCTATTCTAATATATTCTCAGGTCTATGAATATATATTTTAGATTTTAGTCAAGCAAATACTCAGTACACAGAAACATTAACTTTGGCAACAATCATCAAAATTAATAAACATGATGCAAATAAAATCTGACATTAATTAAAAATCAAGCAATTGAAATAAAATCATAATCAGTAACCAACTTCCATAAAATAATAATCATTTCTTATTAACTTGTCACAGTGTTTTTTTTCCCTCACTGTCGTTTATTAAGCATTTCCTTATCCGCATTTCTGTTCCCGCATGGGATTATCCAGCATTTAAGTAACATATACCCGTATGTATAAGTTGTTGTCAAATTCCTTTGGCATGTGTAAGCAGTTTGATTGTATGTTGTTTACTTCTCAAGCAGACAGGATTGTCATTATGAGTGAATGTGTTCCTCCCATGCTGTTTATTTTCAGTTCCTAATCGAATGTGTTTTAATGCTTTCAGCATTTTGTATTGCACAACTGTAACAGAGGTACACTATTTAACCTCTCTCAGTCTACCAACGGAATACGAAAATAACAGAACTCAGATGGCCTGTTGTCTCTAACCATATCTCCCAATTCAGTTTAAATGACAACCAAAACAGCGGGTTAATTTCCATCAGAAAGTATCTTCAACAAACAAGCCCAGGAAGTGAAATGTAAAATCAGTGATGTCGGAAAGACACCGGAGCGTTGCTATGAAACAGGTGTTTTCTACCACTGAGGAACATATGTTAATACCTGTCCTGTGGTACATCAAAGGCTCCAGGTGAATCTAATTATGATCGACTCACACCTCAGTAATTGACTTTAAATTTTCTGCGTTATTTGTGGCTTTTTTTTTGCGGAAAATAGAGGTAAAACGAAACAGGTTTGTTAAAAAGCTGTCCATCTATTACTGTTGATTGATTGTAAGATGTCCATCACAATGTTCCCCTAAGAATATTCCCCTCTTGTAGATATGATATACAGCAGATTATTTATTCTCCTCCAATTTTCCTTGATACTCAGGGCTACAATTTAAAAATCATTGTTTAACACTAGTCAGCTGCTAGTTTATGTTGAAGAGGATTAACTTTATCCGCGTCAACTACCTTGGAATCAGAGATAAAGGGTATTATGGCAATAATTTACTATCAAACTAAATAATAAAAAAAAAAATAAATAAAAAAAAAACACTGTCAGATTGTCATGAGGATTGTAAGTAGAGAATCAGATGCAAAGTATGATATAAAACCAAACAATATATAAAGAGATTTTTCCCTTAGTGCAACTTACCAACAGACTTACCAAACCTTAAATCCTAACATACTTATATGATTTTCTTACTCCACCGAAATGTTAAATATCATACTAATGAGCTTAGAATCTCAAAAATAGTCAAGCAAAGAAAAAATATGATTAAATAAATTCAACCACGGGTAGATAAACATGGAAAAAAACCAAAAACTTACGAGGTTGGACAAACGCACAGTGGAACATATTATCAAGGTCTTCTCTAGTCTTAACGCAGTCAAACTCTTGACAACAATAATACGTGTTTCTATAGTATATGCATTCCCATTAGCTTAAAAGAACACTTACCGACCCAATTAGAAAGAATTATTTGGGCGGGGTGGCCTAAAGGGGAAGGGATATCCCGGTGACATAGATATAAAAACAGCTAATCTGCACTCGCCAATGCTACAACTAAGTTACAAAAACAAATCAGATTGAAGGTCTTAGGACCTTTTTTGGTCTAATAACTTATGTCAGGCTAATTAGAGCAATTAGTGGTAGAAGCTTTAAGGTAAAATGTTTTTAATTTGTCTGCTTGTTCTTTCCTTGCTAATTACTCCACATCAACTCATTTGCAGAAACTCTGATTGATTGGCGAGCAACTTCCGCTAAAAGGCAATTCTTCTTTCCTAATCCAACTCAGCAAAAACTCACTTCTAATTGTCAATGTTTAAAGAATATGAACAAAATTATTCTTTTATCCTAACTAGTAGGTTAGAATTCATCATAACAGCATAGGAACTATGACCATTATTATTATTTATTTTATATTTTTTCATTTGTATTATTCATATTTCTTTTTTATTATTATGTTTAAAATTGTACTTTTAAACCAATTTGGTAGAAAGCAAGTTATTTTTGAAATGCATAAAACCTTTCTTTCTACATAAATGCAGATTTATGATTATTACTAAATTATTACTTATAGACCTTTATCTAATTTGTGTTGTCTTAGTAAAAAGCAACCATATGATATTAATAAAATAATTGTAAAGATCCCAAATCATAAATAATAAATTCATTCAGATTGATGTTTTAAATATTTTAACATGAATTTTTTAACGGCTGAGAAAAAACAATAACCGTTTATGAGAAATTAACGAGGGCTGTCATATTCACATAATAATGTATTTAATTTATTAAAATTTGCTGAAAAGCCGACTATGTACTTGCCCTTTGGCTATTACCAATTTCATCAGAAGAAATTTAACTCTGAACAAGTGTCATTGTTTAATGAAGTTTTCCTATATTTACACATAATTCCTGTTGTCATTTAATATCAGCAATATCGCACTGCAACATACGGCATGGAACATTGAAACAAATCAGTACATCGGTACAAAAGCTGCCTTTTCACACCAGAGTCTGTGAAACATCCTTACTAAAGGAAAAGCCTCCTTCACGAGTAACAAAAACCACTGCTGTGTTTTCATTGTATACTTTGCTACACTGTGTATGGACCACTTTGGAAATAAAGTCTTGAAGATATAAAGGATTACTATGCTTATAAATTTGTTTTTATTTCCCAATGTGAAGAAGAAAAAGCTAAACTAGTCAACCTCCTCGCAAATCGTGTTTCAGAGATAATAGCCAATACATGTTGCAATATTAACATCTTCAAAATCTATTTTATTGCACTAAACTAAACATTATATATTTATACATCATGCTATGTTGTTATTTTCTCCACTTTCGAAATTAAAACAGACATTTTTTGAATGATTTGATGAGGTCCTCTGCCTGAGAAATGGCCAAAATCATATACTTTGAAGAGCGATTTCCCAAATACTGTTCTTTCAACAGCTGTATGTTTAAATGCCTATAACTTCATAACGAAATGTTTGGATTTAAATGATTCTTTTTAATACGATTTTTTAACTTTTCATTTTACTGCTTAACCCTGAGAGGAGTGACTGGTTTGGCTTGTCTTAGCCATATATTTTATCTATATTTTACCTTTAAGAATAAGATCAGAAATAAATCATATAATAAACATTCCTATTAAATTAACCTAATTTTAAAATTGATTTAAGCACACGATTTAGGTTTCATCAACTTAAGTATGTGGTTTTCATTGGTGCAAAAGATACTATATCCAGCATATCCAATGTTCTGTATCTATCAACTCCAGAGTAAATGTCTAGGCATGCAATTCTTCAGACTTTAATACTTAAGTCTGCATATTTAAGTTCGTAATCTGATTTCTTCCTGTACTAAAACAAGCTTAAGATATAATATTTAAAACTTAGAATATAAAAACATGGAGTCAACTACTAATATTCAACACCACACAATTTATGAGGATGACGATGATGACAACCTACCATTCTTGGCCCCAAACTCTAAAACAACCATCTATCAGCCTAAAATCAAATTGAAAACCTTCATTCCAGTCCAAATTAGTAGACATCCTCTTCATTGCCAAATTATTAAATACTTTTTCCTAGCCCCCAATTGTAATAAAAAAAAAACTTACTCTCCTAGCCTAAAATTCTACTTAAAACATTATCCTAGCCCCAGTTCCTAAACATCCCTTCCTATGTATCTACAAATTACTTAGCAACATTTTAGTAGCCCTAAAATCTACAACACACTCACTCATAGCCTAAGCTTTCCCTACCCCTAATCATACTAAACAACCTTCTCACAGCCCCACGTGATTGCATTATGAACAAATATTAAACTTGGCAGTGATCATTATAAAATGGCATTGATGTGACAATTATGATTGCAAAATATTGCAAACTTAAATCATCAAGGACAACAAACAAATACGAATAAATTGCAAATAAATATTATTCTGTGACAAGTTACAATTTTACAATCCATAACTTCATCTGAATCTGACAATGCACATATTTAAACCGGAGGGAACAGATTTCCTACCTCTGCCAGAAGAAAATTGTAATATCTGGAAAATATCTAACTACAATGTTTTATCAACATTCATTACTTTTGAGAAATCAAATTTTCGGCCTGGTATTTAACTTTCAAAAGGTAATTTAATAATGACAGCGGACACAGGTGCATTAAGTTTGTGGAAACAACATACATGAAAAAAATATGTAACACTGGAATATTTGAATTATATGGTGGGAAGGATTGAACTTAATCACAAATGAGTGACCTTGTAAAGCAAAATTTCAGGGAAATAGATACAAACACCCATTAGCCTACCCTCCTTTGCTCTACTCAGACCAACAGCCCCTGCTATACACCTACTCAAACTATCTTCTTGGTGCTTTAGCCTTTAATTTCTCTCTTTAGCTAAATTATCTGCAATCCTATTCTTTCACCATGTTTTCAAGTTATTAATGTGGTTCAACTTGTATCAGATACCAGATTGTACTTAGGACCTACTGTGCAGGTAACCCTAAAATAAGTTAACCACAGCAAAGACCTCACTGTAGGGCCCCTGTATCAATCAGAGCTGGCACAGATTTCTATATTGCCAAGTACCACCTGTTAGAAACCGAATGATGAAAAATATCTTTTACATTCCACTTGTCAAAAACATGACCTGTTGTAGTATATTTCATTAAAATAAAAAGACATGTATTTCAATGTATTTTGAATACTCAGTACGTTCCCAAATAATTGCAAAAAAATTTGTAAGCGACTATCCTGGCACCATAACCCGCTACTACTTGGGGATATTATTCAACACTAACTAAGCGCAAGCTCAGTAGTGGTTATGGCGCCAGGCTAGTTATCTTGAGGTCGTGGATTCGATTCTCACCCGAATCACTTGCAAATTTTTGGGAACGTACTGAGTATTCGATACGAAAACACGCAAGGTAGGGCAAAACACTACTCCTAACATATGTAGTTAACATAAGAAAAACCACATCATTTTAATATTTAAAGAGGATAACAAAACTTACTTATGAATTCTTTTTGTGGGACATTTGCCATCGGATTGTTGATCTCGTATATCTTAGCCAGTAAAACCTCAAGATTATCGCCTTCAATTCCCATGGAGTCTGCAAGGAATCAAACAAGATTACATTAAATGCTGTCTCACACACGAGCATATGACTGAAAATTATTTAATCTCTTTTAGGATTTAACACAACAAGGAATAACTAAATACAATGTACAAATTGGGGATTTAAGGAGATGTATGACTGGGGCAATCCCCACAAAATTAATATGAAGGTAAACACACAGTGATAAACCAGCATTAAGAACAAAAGTAATAAAGTCAAAAAAAAAGGTAGATGTACACACGGTATCCCTCCTTTCAATTAACTTTTTCACATATTTTTCCTTTCACTTCACTTTCTCATATAACCCTCCTTTCACTTCACTTTCTCATATAACCCTCCTTTCACTTCACTTTCTCACATATTCCACCTTTCACTTCACTTTCTCACACATTTCTCCTTTACTTCACTTTCTCATATAACCTCCCTTCACTTTCTCACATATTCCTCCTTTACTTCACTTTCTCACATATTCCTCCTTTCACTGCACTTTCTCACATTTCTCCTTTCACTTCACTTTCTCACATATGCTTCCTTTTAGCTTCCATATTCTATATCCCTCATTTTACCTCCTCTATTTCCAACATATCCTTCCTTCACATTTCCTCTCTCTACCTTTCATCTTTCCCCTTTTCATCTCTTATTGTGGCCATGCACTACTCAGTAGAAATCAGTCTTAAGGGGAAAAGGCGGTTTGGCGCAGCGGGTTCTATCTGGTTATTTAGCTTTATGGTTGTGAGTTTCAATTCTACGCCAGCCAGCTAAAAATAAACAAGCTCAATTGTTAATGGCCCATAAAGTGGTTGATACTATGTTTTTACCCTTAAATGTGATGTTGTTTTCACATCCTTAAATCCATGAAGTCTACAGCCAATGGGTTAGAAAATAAACAATCAATATTAAATTATAAAGATAACCCCTTACCTAGAGTGGCTTTCATGGTGTTATTCAGGATGAAAGAAAAATAATACAAAAACTAGAAAACATAGAAAACCAGGGATACAAAGATTTCCATGGTTCAGTGCATACACAGTGATCATTACCAGTTTAATTTAAGGCAAATGCGCTATGCAGTTCTCATGACCTGTCAATATGGTTGATGCCTGTCAAATAAATTCTACTGGGTTTTTTTTAAGACTTATTAATGTTACAGGACATTCATGTTGACTCACCCAACAGTTTCATATCAATGTTCATCAGGTTATTTCCTGTCACTTTATTGGCTGAAACAAAAAAAAAAAAATCATTTTATTTATTCAAGGTTGATTGGCTGTACATTGGAGGTGAAAAAAAACAAACTTCTGTGGATAAGATACGAGACCAGGATAAAAATATAAGTCATCAAAGCCTAAAGTGGGCAATAAGATTATAAACAGTAATTGTTAAGGATGAGGAATTTTTTTTTTAAATGTACTGAGGGGAAAAAAAAGTATGAACGTTTATAAAAGTAGGGCATATTGCCAATGGATGTACTAGATTCAAGGTATCATATACAATTATTCTACATTCAAATCACAATGATCTATTTGCAGATAATCCTATCAGGACTCATTTTAAATTCCTGGGTGGAGAGAAGCAATGAAGATAAATTGCCCAGCCCAAAAACAGTCAAGTGATCAGATTTAGCTGAATGGCTGAGGGGGTTGAGACAGGGGCAGTGCAACGTACAGCAACAACGCTGTAACAACAACACATGCTCACTTATGGTTCTGGTGGTGGAACAAGTTTTCTCAGATAATGACTTTATACTATAGGTCCAGTGTACATGATTTGGCTCATGTGCACTTTACAGAACCCAGTTCATATTTTGAGACAAGTAGGGGTTACGTCGGTGTACTGGTTCATACAGCCCCTGTTGTGGACTGATGAGAGTAGGTAGTACCGGTTTACCAGTCACATCAGACAAGAAGACACTAGGGGAGAAACAATTTTCTGTAATAGCTAGTCCACAGCTTTAAGAGTTTATACCAAAGTATTATTGTAATACACTTCTGAAGATAATTTATAAAGGCACAATAGCAAATACATTTTACTATTTTAAATCTCTTTAAAGATTTGTGACAAAACATTAATAATCCATTTAGTGTCAACAAAAGAACAATACATATAACAAAGAAAAAAGAAAACAATTCCTTTTGTTCTCTAGGAAATGCATTCTCAAGAGTTAATGTACCACGTCAGCAAATCTCTTTTACCAATTATCCATTAAGAAGTTGAAAAGAAATTTAATTATGATATTGCAAAATTCCTCTTCTCTAGTTAGTTATTTACTGAACTCATTAAATACTTTTGAAGTTCTAATTTTCCTGGACAATGTAGAACATTAACTTAATTGCTTTTTAATTTAAAAATCATTTTTCTATGTTTATATTCATTGTCTTTTAAATCTCAAAGGATTTTGTAATTAATAAATCTTGAATACGGTTACATTTATGTCCTCTAGTGAGTGTCTGCTCTTCTTACGGGTAAAGTTAATTGATTTAATATCGAGCCCAAAAATTGAGCAGGATTCCAAAGTTCATCTGGGGTTAACTGGTAACACATGCATGAAGAAATGATCAAAATAATCATTTCAAACAAAAGATTCTATTATTGTGGCAAGTTGCAAGTTAGAATGACTAAGCGAGTCTTGAAACTTTAATGCAGGCACTGAATCAACTAATTTTTTAGCTTAACCTAGAAATGCAACCACTTCAAGTTAGTTGAAGTCTAAAAGCGAAAGCTGTGTCATTTTACATAATAAAAACAATTAATATGAACTATTTTAAATTATGGGGTGAAGGCAGGAAAGTTGCTCTTAGTCAAAACATTTTATTGATTGAACCGAGAACAAAAAAACTGCAAGCCAGGCACCTACCAGAGTTGTGCCACTGCATATTCTAAAAATATAATCTGACAAGGAATCCAGAGAATAGATTAATTTGGTTTTATCATTGCAAACACCAAGGATAACCCACAAAAGTATCTCTTGTCTTATTTCCAGTGGGGTCCTGCTAGTGGAAATCTGCCTCTTTTGTAGAAGCGATTTGGTGCAGTGGGAACGGATTGGTTTCCCAAACTCGAGGTCACGGTTTCAATCCCTCGCTGTACATTTCGATTCTGTCCTTGAGCAAGGCATTTTTAACAGCATTGCTCCTCTCCACCCAGGAGTATAGGTGGGTACCTGGTAGACAGGTACTTTCATTTTCAAGTCTACTATTTATCATTATTAATTATCTGTTAAATGAGGAATTCTATGTTTAAATTGAATGTCAAAGTTCTACCTACAATACTTGCATCAACAACATTAATTTGAAAGTAGTCTGTAAATCACATGATAGGCTCTAAATATCTGGGACCTGCCTGCTTGGGTGCTTTTTATTCATGTCAATGTTTAATGTCGATATAAAAATGAAACTATAAATGATTAATAACCACTACAGTAATGTACTATATCTTCTTACCAGACAGGCTGGTTTATTTATCACTTAACTTGTATTCACTTGGAAAAATAAAGGAAGTTGAAAAAGCTTGTTAGCACGTATATTCAAATAAATATCGTACTTTTCAATTGATCGATATCACTGTATATGTATTCATAATATAATCTCAAAGATTTTATGATGGGTGATAAAACATTGACACGCATCAATAAAACTTCCTACAGCTTTTTATGCAGTCTGATTGACAGGTATTTAACGATTAACAGAAGCTGAGAGAGGAAGAAAACACTTAACTAATATGTTTACTACATGAATAATCAATATTTTTATGAGTATCACTTATATAAACCATAATATTTAGTTTTAAATAGGTAAATTAAATTGTTAATATTAAGGACTGTAGGAACCCTACTATTTTTTACCAATAATCTATAAAGAATTTTGATTAAACTGATATTCACCTATATACTCTTTGTATTTTGGTAGATGCTCATAATAATTGGTTTGATCAGAGTCTTGTGAACATTTTCTTATGATTAACAATAATTTTACAGTAGCTCGGCATTATTTAGAAAACTAAAGAAACACAGGTTTATTATGGGATTTTTGTGTTGTTCCTTGGCATTAATTAGAAAACTAAAGAAACACAGGTTTATATGTATTTTTTATGTTGTTCTGGTTCTTCACTGTGTTTTTTAAGTAAAAGGTTGACAAAATACTTAATAACAAAACAATAAATTAAATATGTAGCCACACTGACTGAAGACCAATTTTATAAAGGTAAATAAACTTACAAGTAATCATAAAACTTAAAGTTGGTATTATTATGTAAACCACATGAACTGAATACCAACATACAGTAACCACATGGACATCAGATGAACAACTTAAATTAATAATAAAAATAATAATAACCAAAGAAAAACTTAAAAATAACTTATCAGTAATTAAATACCAAAATTTATAACTATTCATCATCCAACTTCAGGACAACAAAATGGAAACCAAATGTGCGGGGAAGGGGAGTAGTTTCACACAAATATTAGGCCTTAATTTAACAAGAAGTTGCTAGGACTACAGTACATGTAATTCATTGAAGAAATACAGAGGGTCAATGCGGTCAGCCTTAGTGAGTCATCCAAATATAGATCCCATTATATTCAAGCCTCTGCAAATGAAAGTGATGCAGCAATCACCACACACAACACAATATCCTATACTATGTGAGATCTAACTAGAGAATATCAATAATGTTCTAATAATAATAAAATATCAAAGTTCTAATTATAACCATTTGAATTATATATTGGTCAATAATACATTTATGTGATGTTACTTTTACCTCGACCAAAGAGGTTATATATTCACTGCTGTCTGACTGTGTTAGCAAGATTATGCAAGAACTAAGGAATGAATCATCATACATTTAGTGGAATGGTACATTCTAAGAAAGAGATGATTACATTTTCAGAAAAATAGGTCAAAGGACAAGATAAAAAAAAAATTCAAAATTTGTTTACCCTCAAGCATAAAATAAAATAATGGAATTGTTTGGTATTTATGCACTCTATGTGACTGTTCTCAGGGGGTTTTTATGGTTTGGGAGAACCACCCTTTTGTAGCAAATCCCCTCCTTCCTGGCGAAACCACCTCTTTAAATTTCCCAAATAAGTCCTCCAACCCCTCAACTAATGCACTGCAGACCCACCCAGACACAGACATTTACAAACATATCTGCTTTTACAGCATTATTTAGACCCATAATTCACAAAAATTCTCTTGCTTTGGGGTTTCGCCGACCCCACCGGGGCTTCGACTGTGGACCTCACGCCCAGAAAACACCCCCTTAGAAGAACCTGGCTACGGGCCTGGTTCTGGTTTATTAGTGTTCTTATAAATATACAAAAAGTTTAGTAGTAGCAACAGTTATTATTATTCTTATTATAATTGTAACACCACAGAGGCCAATGTACGAAAACTATAGTGTAAATCCCACAGAATTAATGAAGTAGTACTATCTAAGCCACAGAAATCAACAAATAAGCTGAGAGTTAGCATAGAGGCAGATAAGGCGAGGCAGACGTATGATCACAAGGCAATGCAAGTCTCCTTTCACTTCCAAATGTCACAACATATCTTCGCCTACCAAATCTACAAAAAAAAATACCAGACTAACATTGCCAAAAAAAAAATATTCACCTTTGACCTGCGGCACAAATTGAGCAAGGTTGATAGATTCCATCCAGGATTGAACATCGATTTCGGACCAGTTGGCCATTTTCTTCTCCCGCCAGGTAAGGCTCGGTTCTAGAGTCAACTGTTCGTAGAGGCGCCCTGTAATGAAAAGAAAACTTGAATGAGCCTAGTGACACTAGCAGGCTTGTATTTCAGTGCCTTCTTTGTATACCCAAGCCCAGGAGACAAGCTAAAGTACTTGTACTACAGAATATACAACTTAACCTTCATCAATACTATCATTATCATTATTTAAACATCTAAAATAATTATTATATCATTTATCTTTCCCAAAAACTTCCTTAAGTTTACACTAACATTTCTGAAATTATAATTCTTAATTTAAATTAATAAATAAATTATTGATTGTCTAAAATTAAAATGAGAGAGAAACTACCTCCTGATCATTTAAAATTTAATTATTTTTAAAAGCTTTTGCTTTGCTTTTTTTTTTAACATTTACCTACAAAACTTTACATAAGCACGCAAATTTACACCCACACTTTTTCTCCTACACACAACCTACATCTTAAAAAGGAAGTTAAATGAAATATTAAATGAATTCAGATTACATCTTAAGCTTATTATTAAAGGACAAAAAAAAAAAAAAAAAGCTATTAAAGGACAAAAAAAAAAAAAAGCAGCAACAACCAATAGCAATAACAACAACAGCAATGATATAATAATAATTACAACAATAATAGCAATGATGATATAATGATAAAATTACTAATAAGGAAATATGAATAATTTTTAGTTGGTGTCCGAAGTCAATGAGCATTGAAGATAAAATTAATATTTTTGGGTTCGTGCAAGGCACTGACCCCAGAGTATCATGGCTGTTCTTGTTCTTGTTCTTGTTAAAAGACACCTCAGAAGTTGGGAAAGCTAATTTCTGGCCATCTAGGAATCAAAATTTTCCTGGACCCCCTATTCAATTAGAAGTTTTTTAACCCCTCTCTTTTAAATAATGGATTCACCCCTGAACAGCCAACATCTGTGCAATGGACTTACCATGGGATGGGGGAGGAGACATCCTCAATTTTATTCTATTTGTGTTATCATCAACTCCAAGATCAGGTAGCGAGAGATCATCCCCTGTGTCCAAATCGGACATGCTCTCATCATCATTGGTATCCTCCTCCTCTTCCTCCTCATACTCCTCATGGTCAGATCCTCCCCGGTTACCATCCGATCCTAGTGACTAACAATGAGAGAAAAGAAAAACAATAAAATCAAGTTGACAACAGACAAAATGAAAAATACATTTGAAGTAAAACAAAATATACAAACCTCTGTTAGAAAATGATGAGCCATAAAAATTTTAATCCAAGTCTAGAAAAGAAATTAACCTGAAAAATTTGCTACAGTTTCGTGATCCATAAATGAGACCATTAGAAGAATGTGCCTCTACCACAAATCTTGCTATGAAGATTTCAGTATTAAGTTGCTAAGCCATAGCAACTGTTTGATTTTGTCTCCAAAATAAAAATGATTTAGCTGTGCAAGGTTGTACCAGGGAAGATGCTTTCATCGAAAGAAACGCATTAAAAAGTAAAATGCTCAGCATTTACGTCACCAAAAAAAAAACTTCATGTTGAATAAGCCGTGCCAGACAGGTGAAGAGGATGTTGTTACTATGGTGTAGCGTTAACTAATACTAAAAAATACAAGAGTCTAAGGGATTAAAGTATTCTATACTGAGGTCTCTGCCTGCCACAATAGCTACCCAATCTTTAGATTAATAAACAAAGGACAAGCTGTAGCCAACACTTGACAAACAAACACTTTCTATTATAATAGAAGGAAGCTTAAATACAATAGGACCTAATCGCAGCTTATTTAAACTAAATTCTCATCTTACAATGTCAATTTTTGATCTATATACTGAAGTCAACACTATCGTACGCCATTGTTAACATTGTGTTGGAAAATGAGATGGCCGGATTGCTTAAAGTCAAATGAATACAATGATTGATGCATGTTCTGTCAACATATTTTTTTTTCTTCAACCATACTTCGTTGGCAATCAATAATCTCGATTTTAAGTCATCTATCTTTCATAAATGTCAAAAATAACCTTCAACCTTCACTATGACATTAACCAAATAGTGCAGCCTTACATGCTTACTACATGTGTAAATTATAGAAAACACGTGCCGTGGAAGCCTTATTGTGGTGTTTATCCAAGAAAGGTGCTTATAGTAAAGGGACGCTTATTGCAATTTAATGCAGTGTTAAAATGATACCATTTGTTGTAGGCATATTCAACTTGTTGTAACAATTGTGTATTAGTATTTCCATAAGAAATGGTTATGTAACAGTTTTCTAATGATATGATATATAAACAAATTTTTGCTGGTCTGTAGTATCAATTAAGAATTGTAGTACAGTATACATTAAAAATAGAATACTTCTCTTAAAAGCATCACAGTAGAAAAGGAAATGTTAGTGTGGCTGATATTAAACAGCACTTATTCAAAAACAGCACATACATATTCAAGAAAGATATTGTACTTATTAATCAATTTACAGTGTTTAGCACGATGGCAAATACATCATCTGTTAAGTGACAATTTAACTCTGAGTACATCACATGAAAGTAAATGAACCAGGAAAAAATCCTTTACCTATTCTAAATAGTGTACCGAGAAATTTCTCTTGAACAGAGCCATTATGTACTATATACTGGACCGACATTGTAATATCCTATCCAAAGAATGATTTCAGAGTAATGTGTCTTTCAAGGACAAAAGTAGAGGTTGTCTAAATGGCAAGATTTGAACTAGACAAAATATAATAATAGGTAAACCAGTAAACACTAATATTTAAAGAACAAATTTGCCTAGAGAACTACGGGGTAAGCCAAGGTCACGTACAGTACCCCAGTGTGCAAATCTGAAAACCGCATCTTCATGTGCGTACACCTCTATATGTTCAAAGTTTACATGTCAGGTTACATTTATAAAGTACAAAGAGATCTAACTTTCCCCCTATGTATTGTGGCTTAATTCCCTTTCCTGTTAACTTTCTTTTCACGCATTTTATCCGATTAAAATAATTTTACTGTCTTTGAACTTTCAATTTCTGACAATGTTATTTTCAATCTTGGCCTTCTATTGTTTCATCTGGCTTTATCATAAAACAAAAATTTAAAAATATTAAAATTATTAAATAAATAACATACAATAGAGTAATGTTCTGTACTTCTGTTCTGTATTCACCTGTATTTAAAATTTGAGTAGGAAAGTAATTATACATTAGGACCCCCTCCTTTAGGACACCTCTATTAAGGGGAAAGTACAGAGACACTTTTTTTGCCGTGAAGTGATGGAAATGTATACGGTCAATCCCTGTTCAGGGGACACCCACATTAAGGAGACACTTTTTTCAGTCCCAAAATTGTCTCTTTAATAGGGATTATACTGTAATTTCTAAATTACCCATAAAGCAACTGACCATTACCCATGGCAACATATTTCAACTTTATTCAAAGAGTGTCTCATAGAAGAGATTTGAGATTGACTGAAACATGTGGTTTAGTTAGTCACTAAAGGGACATCTAGAATGAACTTGAGATGGTATGAGTATTAAGGAAGCTAGATGAAGGGAAGATCAAGAGCTAGAGCGTGAATCAGATTCTGTGGGGTTCATTCCTACTGTACCAGTAACACAAAACAAATTATGGAAAATTAAATTATAGTTTGACAGGTTATTATGAAAGAATAGGAAAGGCTCCTGGAAAAATGGCAATCTACTTACATGCAATAAGGCATTGGTTGAGACTAATCATGCTACTGTAACTTTTATTGTTAAAATCGTGGTCATTTTTTTACAGAAAGTAATCATTTCTGTGGTTGTCTTTGCCAAAATATATGGAATAAATATATTAAATAATAATAAAAAATTGTCTCATTTTTTGAATAGTTCAACGTCAGAAACAAGACTAAGTTTAGATGGAAGGGTATTACACAGCCTCGGACCAGCAAAAGAAATGAGTGTTCACTGTGCAAATGTGCGTTTAAAACTTTGGGTGATCTGCGAGATATGTATGAGTGTTATACAGTAGTCTGGAAGATGTAGGCCTATGATGGTTTAATTAAGAGTGAAACAGGAAGTATAGACCATGGTCATTTGAAAAAGAACAATATTTAAAATAATAAGAACATGTACAATATTAACAGATCACCATTCTATTGATCAGACTATAATTTAAAAAATATTTCAAAATGTAGAAAACTGTTGTAATAAGATGTAGCAAATACCTGTATCAATGCAAGCATTTGTCATGCAATAATATTCCAAACACAGTAAACTACTTTTTTCATAATGTTCTTTAGAAGTAAAGTGCACAGTCATAGTTTACAACTTGTCACATGATGAAAAATTGTCACAAAGCTGGCATACTGCACACACCAGGTTCACTTGGGGACAATTATGTGCATGCACTATATATGAAGTAGATACATAAATATCCGTTTTAATTATGAATTGCTCATATACAGTTGGCTATATTTCAGTGGTGTCACCAGCGAGGAACGCTTAAGGATTTTATAAGGTCTCCTTCCTACCTGCAATACATACATAATTTTATAGTTATTAATATTACCTTTACATGTAGTTTAAAATTTTGTATTTCAAAACCATATAATTGTGATTATTTTTGACATCATATAATTGTCATTTTTCTCATAATTTGTTTTGGGAAGGAACAGTAACAGAAATGTAATACTAGACTAAAATTATCAATATGAATTACTACTTACAAAGTAGATAGTTATGTGAATCTATAATTCTAATTGTCATGTAATTAACACCTCATTTGTCCAGAGTGATTAGTTGAAGGAGGTAAATAGATCTCATGCTTAGTACAGGGACTTAAGTTAATATCCAGGACTTCAAAAAGTTACTCATTCAAGTCTATAACTTAGCTTGGGTCGTTGCAGATATATAGGGCAAGAGTTCCATGATAAAACATGTATCATCAAAAGTACTGACTTTGTTCAGACTCTATATCATGTTTAAAATTAATTTAAAAAATTAAAATCGAGGTTAAACAGTCAGATACTGTGCAAGAGAAGGGGGTAATCTTCTACTGTAGCTATCATTAAAGAAGCAGCGAAACAAAATTAAAAACAGAGTACTCTGGTGAGATAAAGATAACCAAGTTTAAAATATGAATCTTGCTATTGCATGAAAACTTAGAAAGAGAGGTCAATGGAACTAAGTGGTCACGATTTCATTTCATTTGTTAGCTCATTATTTATCTAGCCTAGTTTATATTTAATGAATAATTTGTTTGAATGCCAAAAAATGTAATTTTATGCAATCAAAATGCATAAAAAAATAGTGAATGGGGCTTTTGTGAAGGTAATTTATAAGTACTATTTTGGGCATTCAAAAGGAAATGAATTAAATTACTGAAGTTGGAAATGTACTGCCAACATAAATAAATGTAAATGAAATAAATGATTATTTCATACTTAATTTTCAGATATATTGTCAAGATTTATAAAAATTATATCTTATGACAGATTAAAAACTGTTAATGCCTACATCGTTTGACATTTAAAAAGCAACTGAAAATAACGGGCCCAATTACCTGAATAATTAAAACGATTCCAGATCAATCCCGACAGATTCACCACGCGGACGAATACTACTTCCGTCAATCAAAATTTAATAATCCTTTTGATATAATATAATGATAGGTAGTATTGCCCACAATTTCACCAAAGTAGGGAGCTTTTTTCTTTTTAAATGTTTTGTGCTATCGTTCTTTGCAGGCTAGACATTGATTAGTTTTATGCTTTCAGACGTAAAATGATTGACAACGATTGAAACTTTTTGATACATACTTTGACAGAGTTCCCTTGTTACACTAGATTTAAGTGGCTAATTAAAATTAAAAATTAGGTTGATGATACAGATACAAAAAATTGTGCTTTCACTAACTATTAACAAGGTAAAGAAAACTACTAAATTGAAAAAGGTGAAGAATAACAAAAATAAGAAATTTAAAAGAAGAAAAACAAAACATGTCCAGGCATATTATCCTTGATTCATCCTCTTAGTATTTTTGGAAAAATTATGAACTTTATTTCACGACTTTGTGAGTCATGTTCTTAAATTGAGCCAAGAAAATGGATAAGTTGGAAAGTTCTCAACAATTCATATGGAGCATACTTACAGTCAATTACGAGC